CACCTCACAGGAGAAGTTTTCTGAATGGCGTACATATTTTTTTTTTCTTTTGAGAGATCCACATTGTTATTAAAAATTTTTAAAAAGCCGTAAAATTCTCATGAGAGTTACAAATCTGCCTATTTATATAGGCTTGAGAACTAGAAAATAACCAAAAAGAGTTCTACAAAGCATAAATTAGTTGGAAACATTCCAGGTTAAAAACCGATGTCCACAAAACGTAGTATTAACATCAATAACACGTATCTAAAAATTAAAAGAAAAACCGTTGATTTTGCCAGGAGTTAAATGAATTTTGTCATTCTAAGTCAAAAAGTGAATGTACAGTCTTTGTTTATATTTTGCTTTGAAAATTGATGAACAATAACTATATATGATCAGGATGAAGAAGAAAAAAGCCTATATAGACAAATCTTGGAATGACCTGACAATTCTGTCAGTGTGTTTCAGTTGACTCATTTGTCAATGAAAAGATATAATGGCAACACTAATTCAGAAGACTAAGGAATCAACTTTACTATAATATATTACTCATGTAGTTCCCTTATGTGAATTATTGGTAATATCCTGTTTTTGTAGGCATTTAGAAAAGTAGTAAAGCAACTTTTAAATAAAAAATAGCCTCTCTTATTATTCCATCTCTTTGACTCAAGGAGATTTCATTAATCTATTAGCTTTGTCAAGTATAACCTAGAAAACAACTGAGATTCTTTGTCTGTTTTCCAGTGGAACGTGTTTCATTGCTGGTATTTTTTTTTTACTTTGATAATACATAATACTTTTAATTGGGGGATATTTGGAATTGAATTTTGAGCAAAATTAAATGAGGGACAAAATTTTCCTATTAGCTTTTAGGTGCTATGGTAGATACTATGAGGGTTTGCCAGTATCCAGTTTTCTTTTCCTTTTTTTTTTTTGAGATGGAGTCTCACTCTGTCGCTCAGGCTGGAGTGCAGTGGCTCTATCTCGGCTCACTGCAAGCTCTGCCTCCCGGGTTCACGCCATTCTCCTGCCTCAGCCTCCCAAGTAGCTGGGACTACAGGAGTAGCCACCACGCCCGGCTAATTTTTTTTGTATTTTTAGTAGAGACGGGATTTCACCATGTTAGCCAGGATGGTCTCAATCTCCTGACCTTGTGATCCGCCCACCTTGGCCTCCCAAAGTGCTGGGATTACAGCTGTAAGCCACTGCACCCTGCCCAGTGTCCAGTTTTCTATTTCTTTTGGGATATACAAAAGCTTACACTTTCTTCTCCCATTGAAATTAACCGTGCCCATGGAATTAGTTCTGGTGAATAAAATACCGGCAGAAATGATGTGTTTATCCTTCAAACCAAACAATTATGCTTCACACTTCAAATGGAAAACAGTAATCAGTGACATTCCAGATGGTGCAACCACTTCTACTGACCTGTGTTAGGCATTTTGCTTGAACGAGAAATAAATTTTAATCACTTTGGGATTTGTTACCTCAGTATAATTTATAACAGTGCTTATCTGATAATGGTGGGACTCTTCAAAATGTTAGAAACAGTAACTGGACTTTTCGAGGAGTTGAAAATGAGAAAATAAAGCTAAAAGATCTTGATGCTACAAAATTAAATTTGAAATCTAACTTTTAGGTCATAGTGATGATATAAAATAATTTTCTCTAAAGCCTTAGGACAATAGTGCATAGGTAAGGTAAACACCTTGTTGAAATCACAGAATAGGAATCTAAATATTTGTCTCTTTCCAAAGTGAATTCTCTTTCTTCCATAGTGTGTTTTATGCCTTATGCCTGCTGTGCCAGAGCACACAGTCTCCGTTGGTAAGCTATGGCCTGTATCTTTCTGGGTCAGCCACATTTCAGAAATGAGAATGCACTCTAACCTTCACCTACAAACCTTTTCAGAAGTGGAGCATTTGACTTACACAGCCCAAGGCCCCTATCGTGACATTTTTGTAATTTTCAAAGAGTTTCCTTAGAGTCGCACTATTTCATACTATGCTGTAAAGCAATGGCAATGTGGTCAAAGCGTTCTAATATTAGCAACTGCCCCACATCTTTTAAACTCTTCTAACTATTCTGTGAATGTAGGTAATTACCAATATTATTCCTTTTCAGACTTTTGTTCCATATTTAGCTTGCAGGTTATGATTATGAAATGTACACACTGCTGAACGGTTTCTTTATGTCTTAAATCTTTGAACAAATCTTAGAATAGAGATTCTGCAGTGCTCTGACACCTCACACAGTGCCCCACAGTCTGCCTGGCATGTGTCACACGTATTTTAGGTCGTCCTTTTGGTGGCAGAGTTTTTATCATGCAGTACATCCCACATTTATTATCAATTCTTCTCTTGCTTGCTATTAACCAAATAATAGCAAAAACAAAGAATAAAGCAATCAAATGATGACACATGTTAGTAATAGAAAATAGGCAAAATGGTAAAATCAGGTTTGGACTTTCAAAAAGTTTTTTTTCTATATAAACTATCATTTTACAGGAAAGATGAAGAAAAGAAAAATAGGTTAGAAGAGGGATAATTTTACAGTTTGAAGTCCATTTGTATTTTTTATTCTGCCTGTCTTAGTGGGTTTTAATGCACTATCCAAAGGGTCAAAACTGTGTATAAATTAAATTATGTGTGAAGGATAAGATTTTTCTACTTAAGCTTCAACCGTGAATAAATCAGATATTTTCCTTTATGGAAAACCTAATTCTTTGGGAAAGAATAGTTAGACCTTGATATTTTATCTTGCCCTTTTTATTTAAATGTTTGAGAAGATAAAAAGATGTATGTCATCTTGGAGGACTAGGGGAGGGATAGCATCAGGATAAATACCTAACGTAAATGACGGGTGGATGGGGGCAGCAAACCACCATGGCACGTGTATACCTATGTAACAAACCTACATGTTATGCACATGTACCACAGAACTTAAAGTATGATTAAAAAAAAAAAGAAAAGAAATCGTGAATACAGGATCATACTGGGAAGATATTTTGTTTTTCAAGTGGTAATTTTGTTTTTGTTAATGGATCTACCCCTGATTCACACTGTCAAAGGAAAATAACAAACTGTGTGATTTACAGCCCTAACTTGGAAAAATTATCTACATTCCTAAAGGTGAACATATAGACATTTTTTCTCAGAAGAATCACTAACTCTAATATTTGGACTAAGATAAAGATCAGTCAGATCTTAAAATTATTAAATGCTTTTCTCAAATATGAGAGGAAAGAATTCAAATGATATTGATGGGTGGTTTTAGCTAAGAGCAGTGTCTGAAGAGAAACTGTTCAATAGAGGGTTAGCATCCAGTTCTCCAACAGGGAGTTGCATTCGTTTTGTTTTGGGTTTCAGTGTTTTTTTTTGTTTTGTTTTTTGTTTTTTGTTTTTAACAAGAGGTTATTTGGGTGATCCAGCGCATGGCTGAGTCTTTTTGATTTAAGTATTTTCAAGCCAGTCAGTGGACCATCTAGCTTTCCTTTTCTGCTTTGTTAGTCTGCCCTTTGGCTCTCTTACTTCTTATTAGCAACAATCTCAGCTCCAGAGAGGGCAGGTGCAGAAGGAAGATGGCAGTAAAACATAAATCTCCATAAAGCTGAAGAAGCACAGGTTTAAGAGAAACCTGCAGATTTTATGACAAGCTATTCAGTCCACCCTTATTACAGATAACTGGAAGTTGATTATATGAACTTCATTTTTTGTAAATCTCATCAATACCATCATGTGATTACATTTTCCCCAAGGTGTCATCAAATCACCTATTAATAAGACTTTGCTCCTAGAAAAGGATTCCATTGCACTGTCTGTCCCAGCCCACACGCCCTTGCTTGGGTCTACCCTGAAGGTCACCAAAGACAGGCACAGGTTTTGCTGCATAGTCTCGCGTGAGGAATTTTTTTTTTTCTTCAGGGCTGCCTGAAAAGCCTCAACTCCACTTTTCCTTGCTTCTTGGTTTAATAATTTTGAGTCGTCCTACATAGTCTCTCAGAGGCCTCCAGTGGGATTGAGCCCCAGTTGTTGACAAGTTTAACTATCTCACTAACACTTCTGTTTTGCTTTCCTTCCTTTTCTGTCTTACTTCTCTATTCTTTAATTATACTTCCTGTATCACCTTCCAAATAAACTATTTGCCCCCATATCATCTCAGAACTTGTTTTACTTTATTTTTTATGAGAGGGACCCCAATTAAGATGGTAATCAAGAAACTATCTTATTTTTATATTTATGTCTATAAAATTGCCAGAAAAGGCAGATTTATAGAAATAGAAAGTAGATAAGTAGTTGCCTAGGGCTGGGACATAAGAATAGAAATTAACTGTAAAATGAGTATGAGAGATCTTATTGTGGGAATAAAATATATCCTAAAACTGATTTATACATGATGGATTCAATAAAGTTACTAAAACTCACTGGATTATTGGTGAAATGGACAAATTTTATGATATATAAATATACCTCAATAAAACTGTTAAAAATGAACAGATAGTAAGATTTAGAGAGGTAAAGTACCCAAGGTGACACAAGCAAATACAAGTCAGAGGAAAGGACAGAGTTCAGGCCATTTGACTACACTGAGAAACAGCATTCTTCTGTGAACTAGTGACCTTGCTTTAACTCATTAAAAATAGAAGGTCACGAAAAAGTTTAAAATGTACCAATTAAACCAAATACGCATATATCTATGATATTAATTATAATAATAATTTATTTACTGCCTACTTTATGCTAAACAACTTACCTAGATCATTTTATTTAATCTCACAAAGGGCCACGAGGCAGGTATTATTCTTCTTCCCTGCTTACACATGGGGTGGTGGAGCTTGAGAGAAGGTATGTGACCTGTCAGAGGTCACACAACTTACATGAGGCAGAGTAGGGATTCACCCATGGTGGTCTCATTCTGGAATGCATGCTTGTAACTACTATATTACACTGCTTCTGTGAGTAACTAGGATCTATATCTCCTCTTACCATTTAAGTATGACCAAAGAAAGAGCTCCATACCTCACTGTTGAGTTTGTTTATCTGCTGCTTGGTCTCCTCTGCTTTGATGAAGAGAACAGCAGCTCCAATCTCTGGATCTGGAAAGTGACACACACACAGAATGAGTCCTTTAGGAATAAATCTCATATTTGAGGATTGAGGCAATTAGAATATGGAAGAAAGCCCACGCTATCACTTTTAATCTTTTCTGATGTCTGTGCACTGTACTGTCTTTTGCGGATCAAGCAAGTGTTTTTGTATTCCTCTGGATGGCACCAGATATACACATCATGGTGGTGATTGCACCTACAGTGACTGGATGTGTCCATTGCAAATACCCCATTTCCTCAAGTATAGTCACCACCATTTTCCAAGATGGCATGTTTCCTTTTCTTTGACCATTGTTTAAAACTGTATCATAGTTAGTGCTCAAGCCATAGAAAAGGGATATTATTTGTATCCTCTCGTTCCATTCTAAACATTGATTCCTGTGCCCATGAGCACATTTTCCTCCCACATATATATCAGCTACTAATATCCACTACAGGTTGCCTTTCTCTTCCTGCATCACTCTAAAGGGTAATTTCTCCCAGCTTTTAGTTCTTCTTCTTCACTTTTTCTCTACTTTGCTCTTCCAAATATATTTATTTTTGTCAGGGACAAGAGTACAGGTGAGTCAGTGCCAGCTTGAGTGGAAAAGATTTGACAGATATAACCACCCTAATTCTGGTCAATGATGAGGAGAAAACTTGTTGGTAGGGGAAGAAAAGTAACTCAAAACACTCTGAAACAGAGTAATAAGAAATTGTTTTGCAGATATATCTTGCAGAGATAATCCATTCATTCAACGAATGATTGAAGGTCATATACGATAGGCCAGCCCTCTTTTAGAGGAGATAGCAACCAATAAAGAAAATACAGTTGACACTCATGGAGTTTAGATTTGAGCAGGAAAAATAAACATTTAAAAAGTAGGCCAGGCATGGTGGCTCATGCTTGTAATCCCAGCATTTTGTGAGGCTGAAACAGGAGGATTGCTTGGGCCCAGGAGTTCAAGACTAGCCTGGGCAACATAGGGAGATCCCATCTCTACAAAAAAAGTAAAATAACTAATATAAAGTAATTATGCAATAGGTTTGAATTTCATACAAAGGGCAACATAAAGCCATATTAGGGTTTTAAGCATAGGAATAGAGTAATACAAATAAATTTGAATTAATAAAATTCACTTTGCATAGAAAACAGTGTGAGGCCAAAGAAAAGACTTTGGTAGTCATGCAAGCAAGAGATAGATGTAGCTAGAGAAAGAGTGGTAGCAGCAATGATAGAAAGTCTTAGAGAGAACTAAGATATTTCGGAAGTTGCTTCTAGAAAGCTTGTTGCTTGAATGCATAAGCATAGGGGTAGGTGATAGGCTAAGGAAGAGGAAGAAGCTAAAAGAGTGGTAGGACTAGAAATATGTGAATGAAATGGTTAGTTTCTGTGCATTGTCTCTAGTTGAACCAAAAAGATAAATATCCAATTGAGGTGTCAACAGGCTTTCATTGCAAATATATCAGTTTGATGATAACTATGATTTCTTTGATCCTTGGTCCAAGCACAGTAATATCAACATATGTAAGTCAATTAAATCAATAAATCAAGACTGTACCCCTTATCCTTTTGTATTCTCCTCACTTCACACTCCCAATCAAGGAATTTCACAAGTATCCTTTAGTTTCCCAAGATAAGTGCTGGAAAGAATTACTGATTCAGATGAAATGCTGGTATTCTACCAGAGAAACATCTCCAGAACTGTACATTCAAATGTCTTTCTTGGGTTTGGCTTTGTTCATAAAGGGATTTGTTAATTACCAGGACATTCTAACACAAGGATTTTAGAACTTGGTGGGAAGGGAAGGGGAGGCTGGGTGAGAATTGCTGGCCTTGAATTAGGTAGTTTGCTGGTAATTGTTTTGGATTGTCTCTGCCTATTCAACACATGTTCATTATTCTCTTTTTATCAAATACAGGTGTGTCTTCTTTAGAGTTTGTCATTTTATTTGTCTTGTTGACAGAATCCCTCTTATGAGCAACAAACACAAGATTGAAAAGTAAAGACAGGGATTAGAGTTGGAGTACCCTCACATTAATTCACCATCACTGAAGGTTAGCATATCACATAGTTCTCCATCATTTCCAACATGCTTATATCTTTCTGAAGTTGTTTTTCCTCTGGAAAACCGCAATATATAACCTCACACTGAACAAATTGCTTAAATATAACCAATGTTCCTTCAGTGCACAATCAACATGGCATTTCCTCTAGATAATGCTTTTGTGGATTAATCTAAATTTATAATAGTAAAACATGGTTATCCTCTGATGTATAGCAGAAATTTGAGTCTCCTGGCATACCAATTACCTTGGTTGCTAAAGGGCAGCTCATCCAATCTGGACAGAGAAATGATCACAAATGACATTTTAACTTGGAAATGGCATAAACTCATGTCAAATTATTCAATGGTATTGGTAAGGGTCTATGACAGGGAGAATATTCTAAGGACAGGAAAGCAAAAAAAAAAAAAAAAAAAAAAAGCCATAGCAAACATTACAAGTTAATAAGAAATATTGTACCTTAGGAGAAGACTAAATATAGATCTTACCTCCAAGAGGAGGAGAAATTCTGGGCTCTGATCTGATTCGTTCAGAGCCAAAATCAAAAGTCTGACTTTCTTCACTGCTGTTTCCATCTTCAATTCCATCAACAATCCTACTTAAAATAAAGGAAATTGACTGGTTGTGGATTCATATTCATGGATTCCAGTATTTTTAAAAGAGTTAAAAGATATTATGTTAAATTTCTAAATTCTAGATACTCTAGAACTGAACTATTTGATATAGTAACCATTAGCCTTCTATTGCTATTGAGTACCTGAAATGTGGTTTGTGCAAATTAAGATGTGCTGTAACAATAAAATACACACTGGATTTTGAAGAATGTGTTGGAAAAATGTAAATTATTTCACTGACTACTTTTATATTATTCAAATTTAAAATAATATTTGGAACATATTCAGTCAAATAAAATATATTATTAAAATTAATTTCACTTTTATCACACTTAAAAATGTAGCTGTTAGAAAATTTAAAATTATATATGTAGCTCACAATTTTATATCACATTATGTTTCTTATCACACACTGATGTTGTAGACAGAGGTTCTTTTACTTATTCTCAGATTCAAAACTTTAAGGTATGGTACAAAAGTCCTCTTACCTAAATTCATGTTAAATCACGACTCTCCAGGTTTTAACCCTTAGCATCACAGAAAATAAATATTACACCTCTACTCTAGACTTACAGAAAATTCTAAATGTAAGAGTTAAAGAATTATATTTAAATCAGTATTTAGTCTTCTTTTCATGGTAAATAGTATCTAATCCACTCATTATTTTAAAAAAATACAAGTCGATTGTAGAAAATTTAAACATAAAGGTAACAAAAAAATAGAAAATAAAAATCACCTGTAATCTACTACTATAGTCAATATTTTGATTTATGTCCCTAAAATATTATTTTCTCTCTAAAGGAACATATATTCTTTTCATAAATGTAGGATCATATTGTATATAAACCTTTCTTTCTCAGCTCTGATACAGTCTCTTCCTGTTTATAATTTATTATGTTTAATTTTAGTATAAACTTAGAAGGAGAGTTAAGCAATATTTTCAAATTACCATCTCCAACTGAATTCTTGAAAATTTATCATCCGCCTACTTTTTACTAAACCTATTTTGTTTATCTTTTCCTTAATATTTTATATTAATGAATAAGAATGTTGTTCAAATAAATAATAAAACTATAGTATTTGAGAAAGATCACTTGCTTTAAAAGCAGAAAAACAAACTTTTAATCCACCTTTCAGTACTTAGTATCTCTGAGATCTTGGATAAAATATTTACTCTTTGAGTTTCACTTCTTACAACTTTATAATAGAGATAACACAAACTATAGGGTTCTGAGAAGATTAAATGCAACTGTGAATGTGAAATTACCTAGCAAAGTACAAGAAACATAAAAAGTAATACATATTTTGTTCATGCTTTTATTTATTATTCAGCTGTTATGTGATTTTGATGATGGCTGTTGCTTTTCTACACCATGGCCTACCCCTGAACATCTTCGGAATCAGGATTTTTCATGCTTTCAATCACCTTTAGTGGATTCTAAAATGATTTTTAAGAAATTAAAAATAGAACCATGCTATGTTACTTATTGAAGAGACCAGAAATAAAACTAAGTTTTAGCCATCCTTGATAATAAGGCAAGGATAGTATGAAAAATAAAAATCTGCATTTCATTTTCTTCCTAATTTCAACTCGTTGCTTATGAAACTTTTGGTAAGATCGAGCACTGAGGGGTTAACATTGATGGAGTTTGTTCCATTTCTTTTATTTTCATTATCAATCATAAAATCACAATGTAGGAATATACATTTAACATAATAGGTAGTGCAAAATGAATAAAGGGAGTAAAGAAGGATTTCTGAACATTTAGTATTTTGAGAACATGACTAATGCTATTTTGCTCATCCTGCATGCACACACACTTGCACATATACTCAAAAAACTGCCCACAAAACTCAGAAAAGCTGAGGATTCCAGGAGAGGAATCTGTGGAGTAGAAAGGCTCAGAAGGCTGAAGGCAGGTACTACTCTGTGTAAAAGGCAGCCACGATCATGTGAGAAAGTTATATGATATGAACTCTTACCTTGGACTGAGGTCTGGGGGTCCAGCATTATTCAAAGTTGAAAGTTGCAATTTCAAGTTCTTCTCTTTCCTTTTATTATGGTTGGGGGGGTCAATTTCCTGCTTGGTTTTGGGGGAATTTGACCTGGAGACTCTGATAGGTGAGTGAAAGGGCACCGTTCCCGAGGCCAGTTGCTTTAAGCTTAAGCCCAGGTAGGTTTTACTGCTTCCAACCTTCTTGTTGCGTGAAGAAGATCCCCTTGTGCAGATGGGAGAGAGAGAGGCTGTCTCCTCTTCCTCCCCCTCCTCCTCCTCTTCCTCATCTTCCACAATAGATGGGAGTCGCTTGTTGATGCTGCCGTTTCCCTTGGGCTCTGACTAAATTAGTGGATAATATGAATTAGTACAGACTACAAAGACCGCAGAAGAGGTATCTCATTAATGCTGGAGGTCTCATTTGAACAAAGTCAAATCTCTTAGAGACTCTTTTCATTAAAACTGAAGTCTTTGCAGATTTTGTTATTATTTTATCAGGTGCTAAAGGTCTTCCCACTTCTGCTCTTCTCCAGGTTTACCCTCTATGCTTTCTTGATGTTAGCCCCTGATTTTAACCCTCCTCTTGGTCTTTTAAACTGTCTTCATGGGGAGCCACGTGAAAGGTGCATTATACCAGGTTTGCAACTGGATTTTTATTCAACCTGTCATTTGTAATAGTATATGATGGCATGCTCTTAGAAATAAAGACATTTTACATTTTAATGGAGGGTCTTAGGCCTTGTTATTTAAAATTACAGGATCTTTACTGGAACTTTACATGGAGATTAATCAGCAAAATTGCATTATTCTTGAGAATAAAAAAAGCTTTCCTATTCTGGATCACATGAATGGAAGACGATCAGAAGTATTCTCAGCTACTCTGCTTCCTGCTCTCCTTGTTCTTTCCAGTCACTAGCAAGAAAAGAAGCAAACCACCTGGTCTGCTTCCTTTGAAGAGCCTTGGAAAAGGAAGGAAAAATAGTCTTGCCAAAACCCATCCTATAACTACTGGACTCTTGACTGGGATCATTCAACTTTGTAGACTAAGAAGAGGAAAGAAAGAGTGTGGGAAAAGACAATTGAGGTGATGATGGAAGGGCCAGGGCAGTAAACACAGAAAAGGCTAACTAGTAGCCCTCAACAGAGTCACTGTAATAGTGTGTGCTTTTTGCTTTGCCCCAGACATGGCTTCTCTTCTCACTTTTCTGTGCCTCCGTCTTTTTTGAAAATTGATTCCCTTATACCCGATCATCAATAATTTATAATAAAAATAAAGCAAAGAACTGAAAATCTCTAAGATTACTATTCAAACTCTGGGCTGTCATGGTTATTGACTTAAAGGAATAGTTGTTCTTTTGGTGTATAGGGATTTTGCTGTATATATTACAGGTATAATAACATTGCAGTGACTTATAGGCAATAGTCCATTCAGTGTAGGCCATCGATGCTGAGTGAAATGTATAGTTTACTCATGAAGTTCTTGTACTTGAATCTCATTAGCTCAAAATTTCTTGAAGAAATGGCATTCTTAGACTCATCTTTCCAAATACGTATGGTTATTTTAATTAATGATGAGGTCATACTTTTTGTTTGTTTGTTTTGCTGGGATAGTCATGATGTTACTCTTGTTTGTTTTTCACAGCTTTTAAAACTCTGTGTTTTTAACAAAAACTGGGCCTACATGGAATTACAGGGGAACATTTGTACACTAGCATTGTTGGATAGAAAAATTAGTTTACCCAGCTAAAGACACAACAGGGCAAACCTAATCTAAGAAATGAGAAACAATGAGCGCATTCTCTAATTAGAATTCTGTTTACATTTGCATCGGCAAGTTAATCATTCCTTTGTTTCAAGAAGACTCTATTGGCTCTAATTGAATTCTCTGACTAATAACCTGTCAAGTATTTGTACTTCTACAAGTTTGTGGAAATTTCATACCTCCATTTTGTCATGGAGACTTGGTGTCTTGGACAAGTTGCTTAGATACTGACTCACAATCAGCGCAGCAGACATTACTTATACCAATAATCCATTATCCCACCTGCCATCATTGCAGGCAGGACCTAAGTTTATTATATTATTAAATATTCAGCCTCACATTAGCCTCTGTGCAGGAGTATCAGTTACTTCCTTCAGGCCATCTGTATAAAAACAGCTGCTTTCTGCATGTAGCTGGATTCACCTGTTATACACTGCCATGAAGTTCAACCACAGAACTCTTCCTTCTCAACTGATGTATCCTTTCATTTTCTTCCTGGAAAATGCTTTCACGAAGGCACTAGGGTTTTTATACTCATAGTTAAACAAATCTAGAATTTGGCTCATGATACTTTGCTGGGATAGCTACTTCAAAGTTACAAATGACTAGATTCCATCAAATCTGTCCTGACTAAAGGGGAAACAGAACAAAGTCTAGTGGTTGAAATTCATGAACTTTCAGTTACACAGTCCTAAAAAAAAAAAAAGTCCTGTGACTTACTAGCTGTAACCTCGGTCAAATAATATAATTATTAAATTATTGGTTTCTTCATATGTAAATTAGGAATGGTGTGAGGAAAACACTAGATATTAGATAATGAAAACCAAGCACTTTAGCAATGTGCAAAGAGTTTAATAAATGCTTGCCTACACGATGCTGATGATCATAAAGAAAATGAAAACATTTATACTGTGGCAAGTGCTACAAAGGGTTCTGGTTACCTCCTTTTATGCAATATCCTCCCTTCTTTCTTAGTTAACAGAACTCTCAGCAATGCACCCTCCACAAAGATTACCTTTCTCAGGTTCCCTTGCCACTTGGTTTGGCCATGAGGCTAAGTTATGAGATGGTAGCATATAAGTGAACAGGTTTTAAGAAATTTTTAGAAAGGCTCATAGAAACACTGTAACCTCTGTCTTACTCTTGCACATTTCTTTTGTTTGTACTCTGAAGTATGGATTAAGTGAATGTATGTTCAGCAGTCCCCATGGAGAATGAGATCTTGGAGAAGGAAACCATATTTTGAGAATGATGATGCAAAAATAATAAATAATACATCCTGGCACCTTATTGACACATGGGAGCTTTCATATTTTTCATTTCTGGACTTGTCTACGAGAGGGAAACAACACCTGTTATTCTGGTGGTTTTAACATTACAAATTAACTTCAGCCTAAATTATACAGAGGATTTTGTTGTTGTTTAAAGTTTAGGATGTTGTAGTCTTGGAACAGATCTTCATTTTCAGAGTTCTATGAAAGGCAGAGGAATTCAAATTGAAAAATACAAAAAAAAGTCTCTTTTTTTTTCATAAGACAGAGAGTATAGAAAGGTCTGAGGTGAAAGCAGTGCAGTAGAAAGGAAAAGCTGTCTGATGAGAAGAGTTAAGACATAAAGACGTTTATGGAACATAAAGGCCATTTTGCTTGTTGCTGAGGAGGATTTTGTAGAAATAAGAGAGAAAAGACAATTAGTGCCAGGAGAAACTTGAATGAAAGCACTGAAATGCTTTAAGAGCTTCTAAGAAGCTTCCCAATGTAATATTAAAAGTGGGCCTGTAATCTTAGCACTTTGGGAGGCTTAGGCAGGCAGATCACTTGAGGTCAGCAGTTCAAAACCAGGTTGGCCAACACGTTGACCCATTTCTACTAAAAAATACCAAAAAAAAAAAAAAAAAAAATTAGCGGTGTGTGGTGGTGCATGCCTGTAATCCCAGCTACTTGGGAGGTGGAGGCAGGAGAATCATTTGAACCCAGGAGGCAGAGGTTGCAGTGAGCTGAGATCACACCACTGCAATCTAGCCTGTGCAACAGAGGAAGACTCATTCTATGATAAAGACACATGCACACATATGTTTATTGTGGCACTATCCACAATAGCAAAGACTTGGAACCAATCCAAATGCTCATCAATGATAGACTGGATTAAGACAATGTGGCACATATACACCATGGAATACTATGCAGCCATAAATAAGGATAACTTCATGTCCTTTGCAGGGACAAGGATGAAGCTGGAAACTATCATTCTCAGCAAACTATCACAAGATCAGAAAACCAAACACCACATGTTCTCACTCATAAGTAGGAGTTGAACAATGAGAGCACATGGACACAGGGAGGGGAACATCACACACCCTTGCCTGTCGGGGGTGGGGGGCTAAGGGAGGGATGACATTAGGAGAAATACCTAATGTAGGTGATGGGTCGATGGGTGCAGCAAACCACCATGGCACAGGTATACCTATGTAACAAAACTGCATGTTCTGCACATGTAACCCAGAACTTAGTATAATTAAAAAAAAAAAAAAAACCCTATTTGACCCTTCTCCACCATCATCTTCAGTAAATTCTTAATGTCTTCATAATGCATTATTTAATTTGATCTATTTGTGTGCCTCTGTGTCACAGGATTATTGGTAATAAAAGTCTAGCTAATAATCTTAATGAATCAGTTTTTTCGGGAAACTTTTCTTGAAATTAGAGAGTTCTTAAAAGTTGAAACTGTTTTAAAAGTTCATTGAATCATAAAACATGGTTCCAGAATATCTCTCAACTATATTTTTAGCATTATTGACATTTACAAGAAAAAGTCTGACTACCAATTTTAAATGCAATGAAAGTACTTTTAAGATCAACACCTTAGGACTTTACATTTGGCATGTTTTGGTAACAAACTGCTTTATAACGATGACTATAAAATGCTTCCATAGAAATATGAGTTTCAATTCTCCTCTATACTCAAACTCAAGCAAATCAGTTGCCACATCTCTCATTGGAAAGTCAAGTAGGGAAAGTAAAAAATAAATACATGAAATTCTGAAGAGAAAGACAGATTTATTGGTAATCCTCCAGATTTTAGATAAATATTTTGCTCTTTAACAAAAGCCATACCTGTGAGACCGTAGATTTGTTTGATAGTCTTGATATCACCTGAAAGAACAAACAGAAGTGTTAATCATTGTATGTCTTCTGGTGGTTTGGGGCTGGGTGAAATGCAGCAGGCAGAGGAAAGAGAAGTATGTACAGAGTTTGCGGGAGGGCAGGAGCACAGGAAGGGGTGTGGATCTACCTGTGCAGGCTAGAGAAGAGAAAACACCTTCTACAATGTGCCAAAAACAACTGCCTCATCCTACCCTCTAGGGCCACTACTGATCAGGTGTGTGTAATGAGAAAAGGAGCACCAAGTTGAATGTCTACCACAGGATACCACACCTAGGAAATAATGACCACAATAGTGGGCTTATTGGCTGTATTTTCCACCTTGATGCTTCGTTCTCTCTCCTTTTTTTCCCTATATCTCCCTATTCTTCTTTCTTGCTATTTTGCCAAATTTGCTCATCTTCCTTGATTTTTCTTTCTGTCTCTGTGGAAATAGAAATCTATGAAATCGTTTCTTACTTAATTTCATTACTTCCATTTATTGGCCTCTCTTTTTGCCTGAACGCTCATAGGCATGAGCTATTCATCCTGTTCCACTTGTTTTCCACTATCTCACCGTGGTAATCCCTGTGGACTAGGTTTCAGTTTACTGGGAATCCTAATCCCCTAATTGAATCAAATATTCCATTGATTACAAAAAAAGAAGAAAAACTGCTGCTAATCAGTGTTGATATGCCATCAATTGTAAGACAGATTTAAATTTCAGAGATGCTAAAATTGGGGAAAAATATATATCTTACTTAGGCTTGAATCTCAGGACACATTTTGTATAAAAGCAAACTATGGCACTATAGAGGAGTATATTAAAAACATGCACCTTCCACGATGTACAAAGAAGCTCTGGAAATTATAACATGACCTGGAAACATGCTTCTGATATTATCTACATTGTTTTTGCTCAAATATATTATTTCATTTTAATGTGGTAATAGATGCTGTTAATTAACATGATTTTATTCACATGAAAAAAATTTGTACTTGAAAATGATCTGCCTAGAAAGCCAGACATATTTGGTAATTCTGTCACCCTCCCCTCATTTTTTTTCCCTAGATGATTAGGGAAATAGATCTGTTATATTTACACAAATGCCAGGATCATTATTGCTGTGCAAATATATGTTTCATCAGTGTTTAATTTTATGATAGCAGTCAACCGATTCTACATCTGCTTAGCTGCCTAAATATGCATTAATCAGATGCATTTTAGACATAAGTTTTGTGATAATTCCCTAACTAAATGGTGACAAATAAAACAGCTGAATAGTTAAAAATGTGAAAAATAAAACAAAATTACGGTGTTCTTGCTACTGTGGTAGACACGAAAACATGTTCGTAAAAAGCCTTTCATTTATAGCTTGGATTACAGAAGAACATCACAATGGGATTCAGGAAGCCTGAACACCTCCAATCACAGATACCCTTAGAGATATAAGAGAACGATGCTGGCCTTAGCAGTTTCCAGCTGTCTGGTTTACCACTAGATGAGTTCTGCCAAGTTGCTGAATCCCAGTGTCATTTTTTCTATACTAGTGCTTTTCAAACATATTATGTGTACATGAATTACTTAGGGATCTCCTTAAAATGCAGATTCTGAGATGGGAGGTCTGAGGTGGGGCCTGAAATTCCTAATTTCTAGTTAGCTCCCAGGTAATACTGGTACTGCTGGCCCTGGAGACACATTTTGAGTAGTAAGAGCTTATGACCAACATCACAGTTATTATCATCCTATTTCCTATCAGTTATTTATCCATCATGTGATAAGCGCCCTTATAAGTGTTTCCCAGACATTATGCACATTAATTCCCACTGTGATCCTACAATATAGGTATTTTTAGTCTCTATTCTGCGGAAGAGGAAATAAAAGGACCAAATTAGAGTTAAGTGATTTGGTGATGGCTGCAAAGTAATAACTGACTAAGCAGAGAAATGAACACCAGATTGGCTGTTATTAAGGTTAAATGCAATACTATATTTAAGTGTTCGGCATGCAATATATTTTTCTTCCTCTTACCTTTTGATACCTTTGATTACCCAAGGTAACCTTATCTCATCTTTTACCAAATGCACTGCTGGTCAAGAGTCAAGCAGAATAAGCCTAGTATCAAAATCTGGCATAGACACAATGAAAATAGAAAACTTCAGGCCTTATCCCTGATGAATATAGCCATAAAAATCCTCAACAAAATACCAGCAAACTGAGTCCAGCAGCACATCAAAAAGTTCATACAGCATGATCAAGAAGGCTTCATTCCTGGGACGCAAGGCTGTTTTGACATACACAATTCAATAAATGTGATTCACCGCATAAACAGAATTAAAAGCAAAACCCGAATGATCATCTCAACAGATGCAAATAAAATCAACTTGCCTTCATGATAATAACCCAGATTAGTCGTCAGAGGAATATACCCGAAAATAGTAACAGCCATCTCTTGGGCAGGTAGCAGCTCCGTGTTTTCCTGGGACGGTGTGCCCACAGAGGCAAGCCGCCATTTTTTGCTGTCTTGCCGCCCTCGCCCCTGTTGCCTTCAGGCTTCCAGAGGGTGCGTGGTGACAAGGGACTGGTGCAGATCCCCAGCACCATGCAGCTGCCCTGTGGAAAAAGCAGCCAGACCTTTTTCCACACAGGTCTCCGTTCCTGTTTCTCCTTACCGGGCGGCCCTTGTGACCTGGGACTCCAACACAACTACCCTGTCCCCACCAGAACTTGTCCGTTGGAGGTGGCTCTGCAGTTCTCAGAGCAGGAACTCCCAGAGAAAACCCACAATCCCTCTGCTATTGCAGCTGCAGTGGTACCGCCCTAACCGCTCTGGGGCTGTGTGAGGAACAAAGGGCCTAGTCACTATACTGGCACCTTCAGCACACTACACACCATAAGGAGAGGAATCCAGACCCTCTTCCCTGTGAGCCTAGGCCTCCCACTCTTCATGAGGCAGGGCCTCTGGCTCCGAACCACAGATCAGCCTCCTCATCACAGCAGAGCACACCCACTGGTACTGGCTCTGAGGTTCCCTGGTGAAGGCTCCCAGAGGCAATGAACAGCCCCTCTTGTCATTGCCACAGCAGTGGTTCTGCTCCTGCTGCCCTTGGTATAGGGAAGAAACAGTCTGAGGGCTTCACATGTGCTCCCAGTACACCACAGCCACCATACAGGGAGAAGCTCAGTCTCTCCTCCCTATAAGCTCTTGAACCTCCATTCTTCACCAAGCAGGGCCCCCAGCTCAGGCCAGCAGTGCATTTGTCTCATCCCCTGACTGAACATTTCCAGTGGCAGGGGCTCTGTGTTTCTCTGAGACAGAGGTCCCAGAGACAACTGAAGGCCCACTCCCATGGCCACTGCAGAGTGGTACTGCTCTTGCTGCCCTCGGACTGGGAAAGGCACAAAGATCCTGAGTGCTTTAACCACACTTCTAGAAAGCTGCAGTTGCCCTCAGGAGAAGAGGCCAGTCTATCTACCCTATGACCTATGACCTACCCACTCTCCCTGCTTGTAATCAGGTAGGGTGTCCCCAGCTTGGGTCCCCAGTGCAGCCACCCCAACCTTGGCCGATTACACTGATTGGTAGCAACTCTGCATTTCCCTGGAGTGGAGCCCCCAGAGACAAGAGAAAGGTCCTCTGTCACAGCCACTGCTAAGGTCCCTGGCCTTGCTGCCTCCAAGCTGAGGAGGCCACATAAAGCCTGAGCTCACCCCAGAGTTGCAGTGTGCAGCCCAGGAGAGCCAAACCGAGATCTGCAGCCAGCACTCAAGTGGGAGAGGAGCTCACACTGTCAGAGTGCTGAGAGGGAGCACAGCTGCAATCATGAGGAAATACAGACGAGCCACATGGCCAAGCAAGTGCCTACCTACTGGCCATTTCACTTAAGCACCACCTACTGGATCACAGCACAAACTTCAACACCAAAAATACTTTTGGTAATAGGCTCCTCTGTGAAACCAAAGAACTCAGCTAAAAATAAAGGCCCTGCACAAAGCCTTGGCCCTCTGAAAACATTCAGAAATGAAACCTACTGATTATACCCAAATTACACCACAGTTAGAGGAACACCAGCCCACACAGATGAGAAAGAACCAGCGTAAGAGCTCTGGGAGCTCAAAAAGGCAGAGTGGCCTCTTTCCTCCAAACAACCACGCTAGTTCCCCAGCAAGGGTTCCTAACTGGGTTGAAATAGCTCAAATGCCAGAGATAGAATTCAGAATATGGATGGGAACATAGACCATCGAGATTGAGGAGAAAGTGGGCACCCAATACAAAGAATCTAATGAGTACCATAAAATGATTCAGGAGCTGATGGATGAAATAGTCGTTATAAAACAGAAGCAAATAGCTGGAAAACACACTACAAGAATTTTACAATGCAACCTCAAGTATTAACAGCAGAATAAACCAAGCTGAGGAAAGAATCTCAGAGTTCAAAAACTGGCTCTCTGAAATAACTCAGTAAGACAGAAAATACATAAAAAAGAATAAAAAAGGATGAACAAAACTTCTGAGAAATATGAGGTTATGTAAAGAGACCAAAATCTATGAATCACTGGGTCCCTGAAAGAGCTAGGGAGAAAGCAAGCAACTTGGAAAACATATCTCAGAATATCATTCATGCAAACCTTCCCATCCTCACTAGACAGGCCAACATTCAAATTCAGAAAATGCAGAGAACTCCTGTGAGATACTACAGAGGAAGACATCCCCAAGACAGGTAGTCATCAGATTTTCCAAGGTCGAAATATAAGAAAAAATGTTAAAGGCAGTTAGAGAGAAGGGGTAGGTCAGCTACAAAGGGAACCCCATGAGGCTAACAGCAGAATTTTCAGTAGAAACTCGACAAGCCAGAAGAAATTGGGGGCCTATATCAACATTCTCTTTTTTTAAAAAAACTTTATCTTAAGTTCAGGGGTACATGTGCACGTTTATTACATAGGTAAATTTGTGTCACGGGGGTTTGATGTACAGATTATTTCATCGCCCATGTACTAAGCCTAGTACCTA